ATAAAACTAAAAGCACAGTCTCTTATTCACTAAAACTCAGCATTTTTGCTACAATACAAGCCCTTCCTCTAATAAGTAAAAAACTTCCCAGAATTCCTTAATTTCACTAATTTGCTCTGAATTTGAATATTCAGCACTAACAAATATTCCACTTTGAAATGTAACATTTATCTGAATAGACATGTTCCTGTTGTTTTGTTTGCTCTGTAAAGTTTAACACAATTTTTATTTCAGACTAGAATTTTTTATGTGATCTAAATTAGATTATATTCATAATTTAAATAGCAGCAAGACCCAGAGCTGTTATTTAAGCTAATCTATTTTCTATTTTTGTTATAGCGAGACAGAGAAAATCTACTATAAAATAATCCAGTCATCATATAATTATATTTTATGGTTCAGAGCAACTGTGAGCAATGACCTCGTATTTGTAACCTACTATTACAACCGCAATTTCAGAGAGCATTTAAAATAATTTGTCTTGATAACAAAGATACAGCTTAATAAATACTACTTATGGCTTTAGATTCCCTAAGAGACATGCAGCCAAGTTTGGGAAAGGAAGGGGTAGAAGGGTAGGAGACGTTCATCACCCCATGCTGACTTCAAAAGGGTTTTTTCTAACTGTACTGACGATTGCCATTGCTCATCAGCCATATCTAACACAGTGGATTTATCGACTAGGTTGGTCTTCAGTCAAATGAAACTCTCCACCATTTGTAATACAACTGCATTAACAAGTTTTGCATTTGGGGTTGGGAGCGGTGGTAAAGAAGTTAAGCAATAACTATAACTTGCTGATAGTAAAATAGCCTATTCTCTACCTAAATGTTAACATCTAAACACTTAATAAATTTTCAATTTGATGTTTTTTATTTCAAATACCACTGGTGTCTCGCATAGTTAGTCCTTGATTTACAACGTGTCCCTTCTCTTTTGTAATTAGCTTAATTTAGCAAACTCTTCATGACCTGTTAAGAAAGATTAAGTCATCAAACCCAGGTAATATCACACCGGCAACAAGCTGCAGGACCTGTTAACCTGCTTTTGACCCCCAGGCTACAATCTAACACTGGGATTCCCAATCAGTACTGAGTTCTTAAAAAAAAAAAGTTTTGGCACAGTAAATGAAATGCTATTGCAAATTAAATAGTTAGGAGAATGAAATGTTGTTATTATGACAACACTTTATAGTTAAGAAACATACTGTAAACACCCTATTTTCGTATTCCGTATTTCCAGATGATGAACTGGTGTGCCATGTTTTGACTCTAGTAGTATGTATAAACCCATTTTTCAGGTTGTGCAGTTTCCATCGTGACTTGCAATAGTCAACTTCCAGAAGAAAATCAAAGATTCCTTAACACCCTCCCAGGTGAGAGAAGTAACTTTGGCTTGGATCTGACTTAAGATAACACCCTCTTTTTGTTCACGCTAAACAAGAATAGTCCTAAGCAGGTACTTGGGGAGTAATGAAGCAAATGAAAAAACAGAACTCAAAATCCTTGACTGAAAAATTATTTCAATTCAAAGCATTCAGAGATTTCAGTAAAAAGCACAAAGCCTGAATACACTGTGATCAAAAAGCACGCTTGGCAAGACAGACAGAAAGCATGCAGAGGAAAGCTTCAACATAGAAGAATTTTACTTATTTTACTTCTCTTCAGGGACACTGAAAGCAAAACTGACAGAAGACATTAGTTTTAAAAAATGTTACTTGCTAATTTCAAGAGTGGTTGCCTTCATGATACTGACATGTACCTTAAGCTGAACAAATAAAAGCAAACTCTGCGTCATAACAAACAGAAGTATTCTTGGAAATGTAATCACTTCAAATTTGCCCTGACGAACAATTATTTTGTCTATTCTGCCATTACACAGCAATTTGACTGATTGAGCCGGAATCCATTTCTTAAAATCATGATTTAATTTTGTTTCCCAAACGGTTTGTAACAAAATCACCTCTCCAACCATAAATAACATGTGGATTGCTAACACAGAAGAATTTAGCAATGTACCCAAGAAGCATGTAGCTGGAAAATTACTACGAGTAGGATCACATTAAAGATTTTTGTGAGCATTAATCAAACTTGCCTGCCTCTGCTGAAATGCTCCTACCAGAGGACATGCTAAACCAATTACCTAATTGAAGAGCACTAGGTAGCCATATTTTGTTTCGATGTTAAAGTAACCGTGCCTCATGTCCTCACTCAGAACAGATCCACGTTCTTCACAGGGTCTGTACAGAAAGAATAGTCCAGTTTCCCGGTGATACGGCAAAACTAACTTGTAATAAGCTTCTAGTAATTCTTTGGATAACGAGTACTTCTCTAACTTCTGAAATCAAAGATTAAAATTAAATTTTATTTGGGTTTTTTTTTCACCCAGTCAATTAAATTTAAGTGGCCTAGAGAATAATGGCCTTTTTCTGCAGAGCATGTGTTAGCAGCCAGGAATTCCAGCTCCATGCAGCAGCCCTAGCTACAAAACCTTTCTGTCTTCCTTTGAAAGTTTACATTTCTCCTAGATTAGGCACAGATGAGAAGTACTAATCAGCATGGAGGGTTACATATTTAACATCAAAACAAGTATATTAACCAGATGGAGCATCAAATAGCTGGGCTTTTCAGAAAATTACTTAATTCAACTACTCTTCATCACCGTATTTTCCTGTAAAGAAACTGCTGTACAGGCCAACCAACACTGGTGAAAGTAAGGTTTTCTTTTTACACCGAAATATTGTTTTCTTTAAATGACAATAAACTAAAAAGTTTCCCTAATTTGATACAAGAATACACAGGAAAAGCAAAAATCAAATGCCAAAGCAAACTGCCTGAATGAGAGAATAAATTGAAAGGACGAGACCAGTAAAATATTTAAAGTAAATTGCATATAAAATAAAAAAATGCAACTATAGCCGTGCTGAATTTGGAAAAATAAAGGCAGTTTTCCAGAATTACTGAGCAAACTGCTGGTAATTCAAGTTCAAATCCAGACTAAAAATGGGGAAAAGATCTCACGGCAATAAAATTGCTCAAAAGTAACTTTTTGAATTAATAGCTTCATATATCAAAGGAAAAAAATTCATATCATTTGTCTCGGCACCCAAGTCAGGATTCTAAATGCATCTTATTCTCTAGAACATGACTATGGGAAAAATTGCATTGAACAGTATAAGAAGGCCCAACTAATAAAACAAGTCAATGCTAAACTCAACAAGCTCTTAAGGCACTCCTTACACTTTACAAAGCACTTTGGTTAATGCAAGGAAAGTGGGGAGGATTTATAGGGATAATACAAGTGCCTAGCTTAAAACCCTCCACTAATGAAGGAATGCTGTAAGGGCTTCCACTGGTACAAGTGACCAAGGTTTCATCCCCAGGTCCAAAAGACGGTAATTTCCAACTGCTCAACACGTCAAGGGAGAAACAAATCAATACTGACTCAAAGGGGAAACTGTCACCTACTACATCACCAAACACCATTTATTGTAGCAGCTGGATGTTTTAAGTCTCCGACACACACACTGGAGTGGCCAAACCCTTCTGCAGTCACGTAACAAGCTCAGTAGGGCTGGGCTGGGGCAGTCACTAGAGCTTCTTGTGGTACTTTTGTGAGGAGGATGGGGGTGTTCACGCCATTTGCTCGCAAATCCTAACACTTACATTTTCTGCATAGCTAAATTCCCCCTACAATTCCAGTCAGATATGGTGTTCGTCACTCGATGTCCCAAACAGCTAAAAAGAGCAGCTGAACTATGCAACGCATCACAAAAGTATGAAGTCACAAAGACGTTATGACATGTGTTTTAAATATGTTAGTTGTGTTAACGTGACCTGTTCTGGTAAGCATCAACCAAAAATGCTTAATGTAGGATCCAAAAGAACTTCACAGAAACAGTGGCACTACACTTTCCAGTATGTGCTGGGACTTGCGTGGCAAGGTTTTGGTAGCGGGGGGGCTACAGGGGAGGCTTCTGTGAGCAGCTGCTGGAAGCTTCCCCTGTGTCTGACAGAGCCAATGCCAGCCGGCTCCAAGACGGACCCGCTGCTGGCCAAGGCTGAGCCCATCAGTGATGTTGGTGGTGCCTCTGGGATAGCGTGTTTAAGAAAAGTTACAAAAAACCTGCTGTGGAACAGTAGCTGGAGAGAGATAAGTGAGAGGATGTGAGAGAAAACAGCCCTGCAGCCGCCCAGGCCAGTGCCGCAGGAGGGCAGGAGGGGCTCCAGGCGCCGGAGCAGAGATTCCCCTCAGCCCCTGGGGCAGCCCATGGTGGGGCAGGCTGTGCCCCTGCAGCCCAGGGAGGCCCACGGGGGAGCAGATCCCCACC